GTTTGTCTATCTTCTTGTCATCTCTGTATCTTTTGAGAAGACGTCTGAGAACTCTCATTCTTCTGATCCAGATGACTTTCTCTGGCATACGAGCGTTGGCTGTACCCTTCCTCTTACCAGTTCCAGTGTGTCTGCCCTTCCTACGAGCAATCATGTTCTTGCGAACTCTGGCTCTTGAGTGCACAGCAACAGGCTTTCTGATGATCAAACCATTCTTGATCAGTTTACGAATGTTCTGGCCTGTTAATTTTCAATTATCCAAACTTTTGTTCTCAAGATGTGAGTTTAAAAAATATAGATTATTGTTTTTTCAACTCTAATAGTCATAGTCTAAAGGAAAAAAAAACAAAAACAAACGAGACTAACGCGAGTTGGCATTGGAAATTTCATTCGTTTCATTGGGGTCCAACCAGATTTTGTTTCTGCCGCATTTTAACACAGCGGCTGCCAGTCTCTTTTGCGACCGCAACGTTCTGCAACAAGAACACAATTAAAATTATTACCATTTGAGTTTTCACGAAAACGTGGTTCGAAATGCGACCGCCATTTTTCAGGAATAAGAACGAACTTTACGATAAAAAATCGCCAAAACAATAACACAAATAATGTTTAAACGACACTAATACATCAATAAAAAATATTTAAAAAATTATAATCACACAAACGAACCAACTCTCACCCCATTGTGATATAATCGGAAAAAAGAACCAACGGAAGTTAATGGTCTCCTATATTGGATAGAAAAATGTTTAATTACATAGCGCTTCATATTCTTTTTAACATGCCATAATTTAAAAAGGCATGAAGTCAAGGCTGAAGGCCTTCTCAAGTGTAAATGTAAATATTTCAAACATTTTTCAAACCAAATTAACAATTAAACATTTAAATTAGGTTTTTAAAGGCGAGAAGCGCAACAAAACGATAAAATCTTCACTTTAAACTATATTTAAACGATAAAAATGAAAAGAAGAAAATTATTTCTCTCAAAAGAGCTCACTTTGTATGAAAAAATGCACGAAAAGAAATTTAAGAGAACGTGTTAGATTATTAAAAATAGCTGACAATGGCTGCCTCTCCAAAAAGGCGTTAAAGCAATTCATTAGAGAAAAATGAAAAATAAGAAATAAATTGCAAATAAGAAGAGTGAGAGAGAGAGAGAAAAAAAAAGAGGGAAAGAGAGAGAGAGAGAGAATAAACTGCTGCAAATAAGAAGAGGGAGAGAGAGAGAGAGAGAGACATAGAAAAGGGTTGAATGACAATGAAAAATAATGATAAACCGGCTAAAAAACACCGAAGCTCCCACACAAAAAGACGATTAATGACCCAAAAACGGGACTAATAAATACGAATTAACATTGAAAA